GCTTCTTTATTTACTTTTTATTACTCCTAGGCTTAGAGAAAGTTAAAGCCAAAATCTGTCAAATTTCTTTAACATTGCACAGGGATGTTATAATCAAAGATGTATGAGTTCATTCTGGAAGCCCTTTCTACTTACAAACTGTTTATTCGGTCTTGTTTTAGTCAGCAAACTGTAGTAATTTATTTGGCTTATTTCAAAATTTTACCCCTTAGCAGTATGGGGGAGGACACAGTAGCATTCCATTCACTAAAAGATGCCGGTTTTTTTAGTTAGAATGAACGTAGGACTCTAATTGATGTATTTTTCATAGCCCCTCCTTTGATCATTTACATGCAGGCATACCTTTACCCAGTGCTTTTTTTCTAAAAAAAAAAAAAAAAAGATACCGGAACTCAAACATATCATACAACCCGCCTTGCCTACCCTACAAGGTTCCATCCAAAAAAGGTGCCGGAACTCCGTTCTGGGCGTTCTATGAGAAAAAAGCCCTGCCTTTACTACCTCCTAATAAGAATTAAATCTGGGGGAAAGCAGCATATTTCCTAGTTTTAGACTGGAATTATACTGTTACCAATGGAATTGCTATATTTTTAGTTGTGCTTGTTTCATAAGAAGATGTAAGATATCCTGACCTAATCTTAGAATTGTGACATGGTTTTATTTTATTTTATTTATTCCATTTCTACTTTATTTTTATTTTATTTCTATTACCTATTTTTTCTGAAATATTTAGGTTGCATATGACTAGTCATTGATCGTAAATAAATATGTGTATTTAATAACATTTATATATTAACATATACTATGTATAATATTAATATAATATAATTTATTGGTAGCTTGCTTAAAATATTAATCCACAAATTTAGCAATACAAGAAAATGTGTAATTTGTCAGTACATCAGGAAACATACAGCCAAGGAAAAATGCAATTGGGCAGCAGATGCAACGTTGCTGACAACTCCATTCTAAGATTCCATCCTTCTGGGTCATGTGATTCAAAGCAGAATTACCATTAAGGTGTTGTAAAAAAAATCATGCTTTTCACACTTTGTTTTCATAATTGACGCTTTTATTAGCTTTATCTAGTCACTACCTCAACTGAAAAGAGTACTTAAGCTTAATGTGCTTAAAATTTTCTTTTCATTTTTCATTCCTGATGTGTCAGTGATACCTTTAATTATTCTTATCAATTGTCTGGCAGATAGGAAGTGCGATCTTACTCATTTTAATCATGCATATTTTTTTCTCTTTTTATTTTTTTTCTTTTAGACAGAATGATTAAAGATACTAATAACTTCTGTTAAACAGTTTCATTATCCTGAAAAACAATTTTCAACTCTGCAAATATCTTGAATATTTTATGCCCTACAGTTGCCTTTTTCCCCATAATCACAGTATCTATTTCTGGTTACAAAAAAATGCCACCAAAGCAAATATGCCCTGTATTATTAAAAAGGACCTATCATTATCATCATCATTATCCTTTCAAAAATCAAACTTGGTTAACTATCAGTAATTTTGAAATGAAATTACACCCCCCAAATAATATAGTGATTTCAGCATATTTGGGAACATAATTTACAATTTGTAAAGTAAAAAATAAAATAAAAAACATACTCTTACCCATAAAATAACCTTTAGAGCTTTCAAAACCTGTAAAATGTTTATAGAGAAGAAAAATTTAGATCATTTCATTGCTGGAAAAAAAATCTAATTCAGTGATGGGGGGAGAAATGGGTCTTTTCAGGTACTATTAAAATGGGAATGCTAAACATGTGAACATTCCTGATAATCCCTATTGAATAGCTCAGATAGTATTAGCCATTTTATGACAACCATGAATTCACTTCAACCATCTGCAGAAGAAAAACTTTCATTCATATAATTGAACACATTGGCAACCTTACAAGTAGTTCATACTATACGATCCTGAATTACGTGGAAGCCAACATACATGCAATTGTTTTGTTTGTTTGTTTGTTCATTAATTCATTCAAAGAGGCCACCTGCCTCTTCAAGACAGTGGTCAATATAAATCTTTAAGCAGGAAACAACAACAATGATCATTCACAAATAGAAAATTCTACATCCTTGGGACCCATCCTACCCCAAGGCCTAGGAGACAACCAAATTTTCAATGACTTTTGGAACATCTTCAGGATAGGAACTATATGTATCTCTGAGGAGTTGCTGCGAAGACATACTTCTTAGGTTCTATAAGACATTATTTAATTAAAAAGAACTGGAGCACATTCAGTTTGCCTGATTTTATGGGAGAGGCAGAAACTATGGAAGATAAGTGATCCCTCAAATAATAAGGCCCTATGCACCAAATGGCTTTATAAATGATAACCGGCACTTTTGATTGCACCCAGAACCCAACTGGTAACAAGTACAGCTCACAGAGCAGTAGTGTCACATGGGTATACAACTATCTACCATTCTGTCACATACTGGACTACCTGTGGTTTCTAAATGATCTTCAGGGGCAGCCTCATGTATAATACATTTTAGAAGTCCACTCATAAGGTAACAAGGGCATAAGTGCTTTCCAATCCAGAAATGAGTAAATTAACACACCAGATGAATCTGTGGAAAGGCCTTGGCCAGTTGTGAATCCAAGAAGACTCACACATTGCTCACTCTTCTCTCATGGAAAATGCTACCCCTTCCCAGACTAGAGAAAGATCAGGAGCCGCCCAAATCCCCAGCCACCTAGAATTAGGATTGAACCGAAGTCCCACATAACTGATAGACACTGGCCAAGAATGTAGACAACATCACTTGGATGGTCTGGGATCAAGATGTTCAGTTAGTTATTTTCAGCATACTGTCAACATCCAGCCTGGGAATGAATTAGAAAAGGTCACTGTGATGGATCACCATTGGAAATTGGATGGAACCTTCCTGCTCTGTTTGGTATCTTGGCGGAGTTTGCTATCATCAATAATGAGATCCTTCTGGACCATCTGCAGGGATGGAGTTTGGAGACACTGTTCTTTGGTACTTCCACTTCTACCTAATAGGCTGAACAAGTCAGTAGTTATGGGGAAAGAGTAGTTAAGCCCTTAGATGTGCTTCTTAGATGTGATTCTGCCTATTCTTATTTGCCGTCTATATGAAACCTTTGGAAGAAATCATCTTTTAATTTGGAGTGAGGTATCACTATGGCAATAATGCTTAATTGAATATCTCCACTCTAGGGCAACCAAGGATGCTGACTTAACTCAATGTCTAGAGGCTGTGAGGGTCTGGGTGGGTCACAAGTTCCTCCTGCAAGGAAGAGGTGATACTCACTAGTGGTACTCATTGCTGAAGTTCAGGTTGAGGCAGTCCCAACTTCAGCATTCCACACCTGGCTAATTATGTCAGGGCTGCATTAATAAGTTTATGGGTCTGTTTTTTATGATATGCTATTGTTTAAATTTAATGTATCTCCTTTGCTTGAGTCCAACAAAGGAAGCAGTGTATAAAATCTGGTATGACCCAGTAGCTCGATCTTTGTGGCATAACCCGATCCAAGAGAACTCATTGGCATCTTCTGCCATGGTGATTATAAAGTTGGTGAAAATGAAGTTTGTTAATAGAGTCTTTAATCTCTAATTTTAATTGTAAAAACTGCTGCATTGACACTAGGGATGGTTGATTATTTTATGGAATTTTTAATGATGTGTTGGTTGTATAGGTTTTATAGAGTTATACTGTAAATTTCCAGGCATTTTTTTTAAAACTTGTAAATACACAAAACAATTAGTAAAAACACTGCTAGATAAGGGTAAAGGGAATCCTCATGGAAGGAGTTTCTTCTCAAGCTCATTAATTGGTAAGGAAGTGCAAGCTAGCTCTGGTTATTCTCTCAGTGCCTATAGTCAAGATGATTGTATGCTGTTGTGCTGTTGAATATATATATATATTCAGTGAAAACATGGGAAGCTGTAACTAGATGTGTGCAAATAGTTCAGTGTATTTTAAAGTCAAAACGAAGTGTTCTTCTCTCAAAGGAAATGCTCTGATACTGTTCTAGCCTCAGCAGAAGTATTCTCACCTCCAAATGGGGCTGTTTTGAGGTCAGAACACTTTCAATAAGGTTAAAACAGTTTGAAGCCTTTTCCACACCTGTTTTACGGATCCCTGGAGATCGGGTTGTACAGTGAAAGGCTAGATGTTCGCACACATTCTTTGGCTATCATATAACTAAAGAAATTACAAAACATCGTATCCTCTCTATCACCAAGATATGAAATACTCTTAATTATTGAAATACCAGAATAAAAATATGTAGTAAAAATCTTCTGTACAGAGATCCACGTTTTTATTTTTTATTTTATTCATATGTTAATTTACATCCTTTTGTTTTAATCAAGAGCTCAAGATACATATAGTACATATAGTATTACTTCAAGGTTGGACCGAGAGAATGACTGGCCTAAAATATCTCAGTGAGTTTCTGTGGCTAAGATCCAATCCAACCTTTTAACTAGTACTTTACACCAGTGGTCCAATGGTTCATTTGTTCATTTTGTTCTTGTACTACCCTACCATTGTAGATATCTTTTTCTTTGCTTTTTCAGTTACCTTGAATGCCTCATTTGGAGAACTGGAATGGTTCTCAGAGCTGCTATTTGACATTCTGGGCTTAGTGTGATTATGTACTAGGATTTGTTTGGACTTTGTATTTTTCAGATGGTCTCTGATCCATATCTCTAAAAATAACAGTATGTCCGTAGAAAATGTATTGATTCATAGTTACAGTAATTTTAGAACATTTGGAACAACGTAAGCTCTGCAGTTTTTATTATAATAACTCTACATTGTGGTTCTAGTATGATGCATATAGTTTCCTAAAATTCAAGTTTTATTCTCTGAATTATTTCATATTTTACCTTGTCTATAAGTATAACAATAACATGGGAAGTAAAATGGTAACTATAGTAGCTGTTAGAAATGAAGAAAACATGAACTGACAGAAACATTTCCAATTGTTTGTTTCTCTGCAGACAAAAAGGAAGTAAAGGTGGGAGAATATAATGCTATACTTGATTCACTGGAAATCATCAACAATTCCATCAAATTCCATGGTAAGACAGGAATATAGAAAGGGCACGTGATTGGTGTATTTCTGTATAAGGCTTAGATCACATGCAATGTAAGACAAATAGAGCTGTTTCAGTAGTGCTTGTAGGAAAAGCACATTGACATTAACTTTCTTATACTATCTTTCCTTGGTGATATGGTTAAATAGGAACTGAACAAAAAGATGCCCCAAAAACTGCCATAATTGCTAAGAGTCCTCACTAATACTCATCCTGCCAATCAACATATGAAAAAATAGATTAAGAACAATTATTTCATCTATTAACAATTCAGTTCATACCCAGAAGTCTAAAGAGATTTTTGTTCATATCTGGTATATAATTACTATAAAGAGGAAGGAAAGAGAATTTCCTTTCGGATAGGAAGCTAAAACTCCTCTTAATATTTTTCAGGTGACTGTTAAATCTTCACATAAAGATTTCTCTCCAGAACCCAGAATAATAATTCTAGTAATTCCTGTTAACATTATTTTAAACTTTATGCTTTTAAACTTTATTTCCCATTCCGGGGGGGGGGGAGAGCAGTGGCTTTTTTAAAACACTGACTGCTTCTCTGAAGCAGAAAAACGTGGCTATTGATTTACAGGTTATATACACTTTTTCAGTAATAATGCATGGTAGAATGGCTGAAACCTTATTTTGGCTTATCGTGAATCCACTTATTCTTATGAGATATGAATATCTTATAAGATTTCGTGTAATGACATAAACTCATTAGATGACTTCATTAATGAAGATAGATTCAAGATTCAGAAAGATCTTGACAACTTGAGCATTGGGTCATAGCCAACAAGATGCAGTTCAGTGGTGAGAAAAATAAGGACTTGCATTAAGGCAAGAAAAACAAAACCTATACACAGGTACAGAATAGACAGTACATAGCTCAACTATAGTACCTGTGAGAAGGATCTAGGTGTCCTTATGGACCACCAGTTAAGTATGAGCCAACAGTGTGCTGCAAGTGCCAAAAAAGAAAATATAGTCCTAGATTGCATTAACAGAGAGATAATACAAGATCATAAGAAATGATAATACCTCTCTATATTGCACTGGAGAGGCCACATTTGGAATACTGCAACCAGTTCTGGTCACCATGATAGAATGCAGAGAAGAGCAACAAAAATGATAAGGGGTCTGGAGGCTAAACCATACAGTGAACAGATAAGGAAACTTGGTATGTTTAGCTAACAGAGGAAAGGCTTAGCCATCTTCCAATATTTGGAGGGTTGTCATTGGGAAGAGGGGCTTGATTTGTTCTCCAAAGTACTTGAGGGCAGGACAAGCTGCAATGGGTGGAAACTCATCAGAGGGAGACCCAACCTGGAAATAAGGAGAAAACAATGGAACAACTCGCCTCCAGAGTCATGGGCGCTCTATCACTGGAGGTTTTCAGGAAAAGATTGGACAACCATTTGACCAGGATAGAATAAGGACTTCTGCCTGGGGCAAGGGGTTTGACTAGAAGGATTGGATTCCAAATGCCTTCCTGCCCTATAATTCTATGAGATGGGTGTATGATCATTAAAGTTCTCCCAATTTTGGCCAGTGCCTCAAAACTTTGCAAACTCCGATTCAAGAATGCTCTGCTCATCAGAGTGCAATATATTGGACTTCTGTAATTTACCTCTGACTTATAATTTCATAGGAGATAAATATGTTGAAAATAAGGTTGAATATACAAAACCGGGAGAGCCACAGATTTACTTATTTACTTTTTTTTTTTGCATTGTAGGGAAGGAACCTCCAAAGGATAGAACAATTATCCAAAAGCAACTTCGTAAGATTTCTCTGCCTCTCTACAGTATTCTTTCAGCACTCACTATCTTGGGAATGATCATGGCCAGTGCTTTCTTGTTCTTTAACATCAAAAACAGAAATCAGAAGTAAGTTATGTATTTTAAATCAGATATGGGAAATGTTGGAGGCTGCACACCTTTGTGTGCAAATCTGTTTGGGAGGCTCCCACCCACTTCTCCCCATCTAGTTTATTGAAATACTGTATTGTTATATATATTTCTATGCAGAGGAGTAAACATATACTGAGTAACACATCTTGTGTGCATCTGATTTCAGTGGATCAAACAAACTTTCCTCCATTAGAACCTATCTAATAGTACTACTTAATTTTAGCTACATTTTAAAAAATTAATTAATAGACTTTTAAAATATTGTAATGGTATGGGGAATTAACCTTGGGAAATAGAGAGAAGTAATGCTGCTTAGAAAATAGTCAGATAAGGGAGGGCATAACCTGCAGCTGCATAATGGGAAGAGAAAGAGGCTTAGAAGAGGCAAGTTCTCAGACCATAAAGGACATGGTGGGAGATTTGTAGTTTGAGACTTGCAAGATTCTGTTAATGTACCCTTATAATAAAATAGACTTTATTCATTGGGTTGTGTTTCCTGTCTTGTCTACCTGGGAAGGTTGACACATAAACTTCATATTGAAACATTTTATTAAATCTTTTCATTCTGTTTGATCAAAATTATTGTTTTCCGCTGTGTATTGTTAGCATAATCCCCAGCTAATTAAACCACTGTGTAATATAACAAGTTGTTTAGTGTAAGAGATCAAAGATATTTAATCATAATAATACTAATCTGAATTTAATTATAACGCAAGTAGATAGATTTCTATATTTCTGTAATTCTGCACAAAAATCTGCTGTAGTGATTAACTTCCTGAAAGTTAATTCTTGACCTGTTTCTAGACAGTTACTTCTATATTTCTGTGCAAATAATCCATCTATCTCTTATAGCTGACATAAGGATAATTTTTAAAAGACATTTGAAGCTATTATTTTTGTTTAAAAAAATAGGTGCCAATTTATTTTAACCAATATATCTTTCTAGCATTTTAAATGTTATCTCAGCATGCATCCATAATAGTGTACCTGCTATTTAAAAAAACTGTTTACTAGAGGGGGCAATTATAATCCTATTGTCTTAAAGAAAGCAAAAGTGCTAAGCCAGATACTATAAGAATCCGTATGTACATCCGTAGAGAACATGAGAAGTGAGACATCCTTCAGTCTAAATTCCTGGCTTCTGTTTTTGCAATTTCCAAATGTGTGTGAAATGCAGAACCACACCTGGAGACAGAATTAATGTTGATGAAAGCATGGATTTACTTCTTCCTTAATCTTTGGATAAAAGTTGTCTTTGTACTATCAGCATGGCCTTTTAGAAGATAAACTCTGAATGATAAAAACAAATCTATGTGGAAGAAGAGCTTGGAAGAAAAGCTCTAGGTTGACTTTTTCTTTCGTTGATCAAAAGGACAATTAGAAATTATAGCTGGTCTTCAAATTTACAAAGAGATAGGAATTTTAATTTCCAGTCATGCAGTCATTTATATGCAGGATTGGACTAATAACTGCTGTACCTGTTATCTTTCTTTCTGTATATGACAGTACTGAAATATGCTTCATCAGTATAAAAATCTTCCCTTATTCCCAATGATGGAGTGTCATTAAGCTATCAGAATGTACAATTGAAATAACAATTCTACCTTGTGGGAATACACATACATATACATATGTATTACACACACACACACACACACACACACACATACACATTATTTATTTATTTATCATATTTATATAGCCACCCATCTCACAGAATATGATTCTGGGTGGCATACAATAAAAACACAGAGTAAAAACTAACAAAGCATTATACAATTAAAAATACCAATCCCAATGATAGAGTAGCAGAGAGAGCAATACAGCCATCTCACTAATTCACCATTACCTTGAGATTCCCAAGTTTGATGACACAACCGTATTTTAAGGGATTTCTGGAAGATTATCGGGGATAGGGCAGAATTATTTCCAACAGGGCAGGAGCCATGTTAGAAAAGGCCTGTTTTTGAGATTCCGCCGCATGATACTCCTTTGGAGATTGGACCCATAACACATCTCTTACACTAGACCTAATGGAATGAGCAGATCTAATCAGATGGAGATGGTTCCTCAGGTACCTGGCCCCATGCTATGAAGGGCTTTAAAAGTCAAAAGCAGAGGTACGAATTAACCTTCAAAGTAAATTGGCAACCAATGTAGTCTGCAGCGCACAGGTGTAACATGTGACCTTCTAGAGGCATATATAATTGCCTTCACCACCAGTGCATTTTATACCAGCTGAAGCTTGCAAACACTCTTAGGGCAGTGTCATGTGGAGCACATTGCAACAGTCTATCTGGGAGATGATCAGAGTATGAATAATTGTGAGGAGAACCTCCCAGTCCAGGAATGAGTGCAATTGGCACACAACACAAAGCTGTGCATTTCTACCCATCACTGCCATCTGTTCTTTGAACAGGAGCTAGGTGTCCAGGATGACCCCCAGATTGTACATTAGGACTGTTTGATGCAGTGCAACCCTATCCATTACCAAATATGGCATAGTCCCTGATTCAGAGGACCCCAAACCCAGACCCACTTAGTCTTTCCAGAGATCAGTTGGAATCTGCTGAACCCCATCCAGGCCTCCATAGCTTCCAAGCCTAGAATAGAACATTAGCAGCATTGCTTAATTGATCAAGCACAAAAAAATAATTGCATATTATTAGCATACTGATTATACCATATCCCACAGTGGTAGATGAGCTCACCCAGTGACTTCATGTAAATATTGAAGAGGAGAGGAGAAGTCACCAAAGCCTGCAAAACCCCATAAAGAAGGGCAGGATCTCTCTTTCCCAATCACTACCAACTGGTATCAACCCTGAAGAAAGGAAGAGAATAAGCACAACACAGTGCTGCCCACCCCCAACTCTTGGATCTGGTCCAGAAGGATACCATGGTCAATAGAATTGAAGTTGAGGAAGTCAAGAAGAGCAATTGAAGTTAAGAGGAAGTCAAACAAGAGCTGGAAGAATAAAAGCATTAAGTTATCATGGTGACCGCACCTACAAATACAAACGAGATATGAGAAAGATGCTAAAATATATGGTTTTTATAAAGACCAGACAGTGTTTGACTAAATACTATTGTCATCAGATGAAAAATTGATTAAGAAACTATATAGATTTCTGTTAAATTTAACGATGGAAGATGAACAAGCTAAATAAACAATGATAACAGGGGCAAAAAACTTTGGGCACAATATAGAGGTAGAAAAATGGCAAAATTTGTGGGAAAGAAACTATAAAATAACAATGGCAGCTGTGTATAAAGAAAATCTATATAAAATGTTTTATAGATGGCATTTACCACCTGCGAGGTTTACAAAAATGTTTAAAAATATGTTTAGCAATTGTTGGAAATGTAGACAAAACCAGGCACTTACTATCACCTTTGGTGGACCTGCCCCAAAGCAAAAATATTCTGGTCAAAAATACATATATGATTAGAGAAAATGTTAAGAAAACACATAGATTTTAAGTCGGAATTATTTCTATTAGGTATAATCTCAGAAAATTATGATAAAGAATGTGTATATTTAATCTTACATGTATTAACAGCAGCGAGAATTACATTTGCACAGCATTGGAAAAATGAAGAAATACCAGCTGAAGAAAAGATAATTAAGAAAAGTTTGGACTGTGCAGAAATGGACAGGCTGACATTGAAAATGAAAGGGAAAGAAGATACAGAATACCTTCAAACATGGGATGTATTTTATCAATGGCTAGAAAAACGGACTAGGGAGTAGGAACTTAAGATGCATTATTATGTTAAATATGTGGATCCAGACAACTTATTGTTTATTAAGCACTAAAGATTTGTAATTATAAAAAAAATGAAATATTTTTTACAAAAAGAATTCTTCCGAAACTGCTGTGTGACCATCTTTTCAACTGCCTTCCTCCAAAAGAGAAGGTTAGATATTGAGTGAAAATTAACCAGTATGATGGTATTCAGCAATTGTTTCTTGAGTAGGGGTGAAGTGAAGGAACAACCACTCATTCAAGGAAGAATTCACCATTGCAAGAACCCACCCACATGAATGAGCAGCTTTAGTTAGCCAGGAGCGGCATAGGTTAAAAGAGTAGGTGACTGAGCTCACAATCCTAAAGTCCCTGTCCTCTTCCTCAGGACCAAATGGTTGAAACCAATCTCAGATAACAGGACAATAATCTACCCCTTACATCTCCCTAAAACTGCAGTAAACCCAGCATCCAACTGAGAATGGACATGAACAATTTTGTCCAACAGCTGCTGAGCAAATTCTTCTGCACAGCCTTGTAGTAGGGTCTCTAAGCCCCCTCTCCCCAAGAAGGCCTGTGTCATCCAAAACAAAGTAATGGGGCAGCTATCTATGGATGCTTTGAGGTAGACTTTAATAGTAGCTCTAGCCCAAGTTTGGCCATGTTGTCCCTTGCCAAGCACCAAACAGTTCTAGATGTCTCTTCTCCCATTTCATCTCCCTCAATTCTTCAGTGAATCACCAAATCTTCAGATGGACCAGAAACAACCCCAGCTCCTTGAACATCAACTCATCATGGTCCATCAGTCTTCACGGGAACAGAGAATCTTATAATAATCAAGGCATGGTCTGCCCCTGAAAGAGGGATATCAAAAATAACATACATTATATATCTTCTCAGATCAGAGCTTGGGCATTTCCAACAATTGCTTTCCTCATGTAGTCTGCTGGTTAGTGTCCAGTTTTGGCAAATGATTCTGTCCTTTTTTCTGTATATTATTTTGATAACACTGTATGCTGATCTCTTGACCGTAGCAGTTAAATGTATAGTTTATTGAGACTGATAAAGGCTGAAGCTTTTGAAAAACCAGAAATTACCTATTTGTAACTTAGAAAAGTGGGATATTATACAGTTTTCCTGTGCATTTTCAAGTTTTCCCACAGAACAGGAAATAGTATTTTCTTATTCTAACTTATTTCATTTCTTTATTTATCAAATTTATATGCTACCCATCTTATTTTTGCCTCTAAGCTGCTTTAATAAATCTAAATGTATTTAAAATATTTTAAAATTATTTATTAAATTTATTAGATTTAGAATAATTCTAATGATGAAGTTAGATATATGCAGTGATGTACCTTTATGTTCTGAAGTTGTTGTTTATTGGAGGGATTTGTTTTTGGGCTCCTACTGTCCTTCCATCTGTTAATATTTTGGTTTTTGAAGGGAATGTTTCTAGTAAATACTTTTTAAGATGATAGGGAGTTACAGTCTAAGATATTAAAAGGAGCTAGGCTGAATAATGATCTACAAAAATCATATTGAATTGATTTATAGCAATTGTCTTTTCTTCTCCCAAAGGCTAATAAAGATGTCTAGTCCTTACATGAACAATCTCATTATTCTTGGGGGAATGCTGTCCTATGCATCTATATTCCTTTTTGGGCTTGATGGATCTTTTGTTTCTGAGAAAACATTTGAGACTCTTTGTACTGTAAGTAATTCTGAACCATTTTATATAAAATTCATATTTCTATAAAATTTCTATTCTTTTAACTGCAACTACTTACGCATTTGAAGTTTGAAACACTGCAACTTTGATATACTGTAAGACATCCAAACATTTGGAAAATACAGAAGACTTTCAGAAAGTAATATATTTTAGTGCAACTTTGATATACTGTAAGTCATCAAATATTTGGAAAAATACAGAAGACTTTCAGAAAGTAATTTATTTTAGTGCAATGTTAATAAAAGAAGGTGGAAGTATAAGTGTATCACAGTGATTTAATGATCTCAGATTGGCCACTAGTTTCATCTAGGGCTATGTGCAACAAATCATGATGACACCAAAATAAGAGCACATGCACAGTGACATCATCATACAAATGCCATGTATGAATATGTATTCTAATGTCTTTTCTAAAATCCTTTTTTAAAGTGTACAGTACAAAAAGACAATACAAACTGAGATCAGAAAGAAAGAATAGGAAGAAAAGAAATACAAAATGTATAGGAAAAAAGAAATAGAAAAAAGAATATTTAAAGAAGTAACTCCTTATCTTCATTGCAACAATTACAGGCAAATTTATATTTCCTCACCTCCTATGAGATTACAAACATAATTCACTTCTTCAAAGATCCCTGCACCCTATGTAAATCCCAAAACAGTGTATTTTCTATCCAGATGTCAGCAAAAAAAGTCTCTAAGGCAAACTGCCAGCCCACAGGCCGGTTCATGATACCGGAGCTGCGCCCACCCCATTGCTGGCAATGACAAAAAAGCTCCGATGCGTTGCGTGACGTCATGTGACATCGCGAGTTTGACATGTCTGTTCTAAAAGGTGTCCAGACATCTATAGAAATAGTTCTCATTTTAATCCTGATCAAACAAGTCAACATTATATTCCTTTCTTTTGCTTCTACCAATTTTAAGCTTTAATTAATCAAGTTGCTGTCACGGGATTGAATCTCCATTCAATTTTTCCTTCCTCAAAAATTTCTTCAAGCTTCAGAAATTCTTTTTTTGTAAATCCAACAATAAGGCATTGCCTAGGTCATATTCATGGTTTATCATTTGTAATTCCACTTTGATTATTATCTCTGCTTTATAATCCATAATTTCTTTATTTTCTTTATTAACATCTATATTAGCTGGGATTTGTTTCACTTTTTAATCCCGTCTGTCTATAAATTCTTCAATGTTATCCTTTTACATCTTTTTACTTCTTTAGAAATTTCTTCAAATAATGTATTTACAGGTGCAGAGATTATTACTGTCATCTTACATATATATATATATTTCTCTCTGCAGTTCTTCAAACAAAATATTAAATGTCTCAAGTGACATACTGTCTGTCATTTTGTAAATTATACTTTATCTTTTTTCTTCCTAGAACTTTAGTTCCCTCTAGTGTCACATTTTGTATTCCCGAGATCTCAAATTTCCTTGTTTCTATTTTCAACCTTCATCCAATAAACTTTTTTAGTAGACTAAACAATTCAAGTTCCCACAAAATATTGTTTTGTGTGCTCAGTTTTTCAAAAGTCATAGCAAAAGTTGTAATATTCCAAATTTGTCTACTCCTTTATCTCCATTTAAAACTTGTTTTTAAACTAAATTCTTATTTAGCTTTTTGTCATTTTATTTTTACAGTTCCTTAAACTGTTAGTTAGCTTTTCTTTTCTTTTAGGGTGATGTTTTACTTACCAGGTAGCTTTTCAAACATTGTTTGGAAAATCTTTTTAACTTTGAAATAATTGTAAACCCAAAAGCGATTAGAAAGCGAGGTAGATAAACCCAGTGTTCTCAAAGGCTCCACTGCCGTTGAGAGTTTGACGGCTTCCCTTGTCTCCCAGAACCACTTTCTGAGCAAGCTGAGAGGAGCAGCTATTTGAAGCTCAGGTGGGCAATTTCTCATCCTCTTCATATCCAGAGAGGTTCCATTGGACTGAACTTACCACTAATCATCATCATCATCATCATCATCATCACCATCATCCACTCTTTGGGAGATATTTAGTTTACCATTTATTCACCCAGAATTCTCCAACTTGTTTTCCAATATCTGATGCAAGAATGTAAGCCACAGAATTTGTGTGATGATGTCACAATGCATGGATCTTTGTTTATCCTTTCTCTGGATGCTATTGGTCTTCTTGCAGTATGTTAAATAGTTGCTTGAGTAGGAAGCTGTTGCCAACACCCAATTTCAGATTTTCCTTTGCTACTCTCCTTTCTTGAATTATTTTCACTCTGGATTGTGTATTTAATCATCGAGCAATCTGTAGCATATGGGATACATCTCTCTCTCTGTGTGTTTTTCCCCCCTAGTTTAAATCTATTAATAGGTTTTATATTGTATAATTACTGTGGACTATTGTGTTTTGATGAAATCCTGACTGTAACTGCACAATGTCTAAAGTGGTCTTAAAGAACTGTCAAGCAATATACCCCTTTTGGCTATCTTGCTAAATCACTGTATTAATGTAGTTTATTAAGCTGTAAATAGAAGCACTGTTATTATTTTGTATTCCTTTCATATTTATTTTTTCCTATAGACTAAAAAGTCTATGATTTATAATGTTGCAAAATACAAATCTGAGGAAGACTGCCTATGCAATGTTTTTCTAAATAACACTTTAACAAAAGAATATTTTGGAAGGGAATACTATATGAGAATGGGCATTTAGTTGGAGTACTGTGCTGGTCTAGGAGGCAGTAGGAGAGGGAAAGTAGAGGACATAATAGAAAGTCTTGGAAATAGGAAAAGCTTATCACGACAAATACATATTTGCCTAGTTTTATTCTACTAATATATATCTACTGGATGTTATTTTTGCCATTGATATCTTTTAAACAGTATGGGAGAAATGTAATAATTGCAAAGTTAACTGCAAAAAGTTAAATATTCAAATGTTAAAACAAAGAATTTAATTCTTTGAGAAGCCATAATTATAAAGTGTGAAAAGAAATTATAGGGGAAATAAAAAATCCTACAGCTAGGAGGAGAAGCTAGGAAGTTAAAAATAAAAAAAAATTACATTGATTTTTTTTAAAAAATGAAAATTAAAACATTTACCACTTTGACTGCATGGTTAAGTGCTAACTGATGGTTTTAGCCATGCATTATTTATGTTCTTTCAGTGTTTTTTAAGTTTCTTAACTGTAATTCACAGTTTTTTTGTATATGTTCCTGTAATTTTACATTTTTTTAAAAAAGTTTAAAAATGTAAAAAAAAACCCTTTCCAACTTTGGGTAAATACTTATTGAGAAATTCAATCATATAATAACCCTTTTTAGCAGAAGTATTATTTATGGTTAAGATTGTAATGGGAATCTTATGTTTCTTATCATCAAACCTGTTTTGTATGCTACCTAAAAATGTTTACAGTAAGAAAAGTTGATTGAGAGATTGATTTTATTATTATCTTGCCTGTTTGCTCAAGCAGAATATAAAATTAGAGTCATTCTAAATAAAAAAATATAGTATAATTAAATACATGGAGTCAATTACAATTAATTATAACACAATTGAGGCACAAATCTGAATGATTTGCTTTGTCCAAATGGTTCAAGGAATAATTGCAAGCGACTCACACAATTGTGGAAATCCATCTCTGGAAACAATCGGGCATTAAATATGCTCTCAGATAGCAGAATTCCTCTTTCAGGAATCTAACCCCATCCAACATAAATTAATTCCCCAAATCAAAGTTTGTTTTCCTACTCACCAATATCCTCCTGTGCCTCATCTGTCTTTAATTTCAGTTCGTTTACCAATTACCCATCTTATTACTGAACTTGAGGGTAATTCAACAGCAGAAGAATGTAAGTCACTTTTCCTTCCATATCCAGATTCCTAAATGACTCTTTCAGTAGTTTCATTTAAAAAGTAAACAGTGTAGAAAATAAGATGGGTCTCTAGCACAGCATAGGTCAACATCCAGGGAGTTACACCACCAACCGGACATGGTCAAACAGGAAGGACTGCTGTGTGCTCAGATGAGCAATCCAGGAGGATATTGAAGTAACTTCTATCAGCAAGACAATTATTATTGCCACACCTTCATTCTGAGTTCCATTTCTCAGAGGGAATAATTTCTCTACTTATTAAGGATTTTCACCATCATTTCTATATTATACAGATCAGCCCGGGTTTGTCAGTATTATATACAGGTAACAGTGGAAAAATGTAGGATTGACTTCTAATAATAATATAATAGTAGTAGTAGTAGTAGTAGTGTAGTAGTAGTAGTAGTAGTAGTAGTAGTAGTAGTAGTAGTAGTAGTAAAGTTGGAAGGGACCTTGGAGGTCATCAAGTCCAATCCCCTGCTCAGGCAGGTAACCCTATACCATTTTGGACAAATGGCTGTCCAGTTTTTTCTTAAAAACTTCCAGTGTTGGAGCATTCACTGCTTCTGGAGACTGGTTGTTCCACTGGTTAACTGTTGTAACTGTCAGGAAGTTTCTAGTTCTAGGTTGCTTCTCTCTTTGGTTAGTTTCCACCCGTTGCTTCTTGTCTTGCCTTCAGACGCTTTGGAAAAAAGCTTGACTCCCTCTTCTTTGTGGCAGTCCCTGAGATATTGGAACACTTCTATCATGTCCCCCTTCGTCCTTCTCTTCGTTAAACTAGACATACCCAATTCCAGCAACCATTCCTTATATGTTTTAGCCTCCAGTCCCCTAATCATCTTTGTTGCTCTTCTCTGTACTCTTTCTAGAATCTCAACAACTTTTTTACATCGTGGTGACCAAAACTGGATGCAGTATTCCAAGTGCGGCGTTACCAAGGCATTGTAAAGTGGTATTAATACTTCACGTGATCTTGATTCTATCCCTCTGTTAATGCAGCCTAGCACTGCGTTGGCTTTTTTGGCAGCTGCAGCCACTGCTGGTTCATATTTAAGTGATTGTTCACTAGGACTCTGAGATCCCTCTCACAGTTACTACTATTGAGCAAGGTACCCCCTGTACTATACCTGTACATTTA